CACCTAGGAGGTGCCCAGGAAGTCACCTCTGCCCAAGTCTGCCCAACTGAAGATGGCTCGTGCCCACCCTGGGACAGAGCCCAGTGCCTGAGGTCCTTACCATGGTGATGATCCTAAGTAAAAGCCTCGACACCCAGCGCGCTGACTCCATAGCATGCAGGACCTTCAACTCTGAGCTGGTAAGGACCTTGTGTGCCTCGTTTCTCTGGTGACATTTCTGAGGCCCAGTGTCCAGCCGGGGCTGTGGGCTGAGTGTGCAGGCCTTGCAGACAGAGTCCAAAGTGCCCGAGAGCAGAGCTCTGAGACATTGCGGGCCGGGGCGGGGCGGGGGTGGCGGCCCAGGAACCCAGAGCCCAGCCGAGCACTTGCAAGAAGGAAGTAGCTGGCCAGAGTCATCTGGTGAGTGGGGGGGAGGCCAGCACCCTGGTCAGTAATTCCAAGCACGGTTCTGCCGCCCTGCCAGGCTGAGACCGACATTCCTTCGGGTCTCCACCCGGTTAGGGGCGGTGGGGGCCCCGATGAGGCCGTGCCGGGCATGGGCCGCTCCTCAGGAATGCTAAGAGTGGGAGACAGGGAAGGGAGGCACAGTCTGGCAGCCAGCGTGGTGGGCCGTGGCGACAGCTGCCCTCCGGCTGCCCTCTGCCGAAGGTGTCCTCTGAACAAGTGGCCTGATGGGCCGGGCCGGAGAGGCAGACCCCAGGCCTCCTCGGACGGAGAACGGAACAGCCCCCTCCCCGTTTTGCAGCCTTGATCCCTCAGAAGTGATCGGGGCTGCTCCCTAGCGGAGGGGTGGGGGTCCCACTCAGGCACAGACCCTCCCGCGGACGAGTTTTATAAATGGGTGAGTCCCCAGGACTCTCCGCAGCGTCCGTGGTTGGCAGGGGCCACGGCTCCGGGTCCTGGCGCCCTTCACAGCCCTCACGAGAACCCACGCCGGCACCCCTGGGCTCCCGTCATCGACCTCTCATCAGCAGCCAAGCCGGGAGCAGACAGGCGGGTCTCCGGCCCGCAGAGCTTGCAAGGGCCACGGAGACCTGCGTCCACGCCACAGCCTCCACAGAGCGCCTCGGGTGTGTCGGGCACTGGGCTGGAGGAATTCTGCAAACAAAGACGAGGCGGGGCTGCGCATCTGATACGTGTCTGTAGTTAGAGTCCCTCTCACCTCCCCACTGCCACTGTCCTTTCTCACCTGGATTCTTGTGGTAACTGGTCCCCTGCTTCTGGCTGCTTTTAGCCTGTGCTCCACCCAGCAGCCAGCGGGAACACAAGTCACATCTGTCCCTCTGCTCAGGACCTTCCACTGGCTTCCTTCCCATCTCGAGCCGAGCAAACAGCAAAGCTCTTCTGGGATGCGTGAGGCTCCACATGTTCTGGCCCCCCATGACCACTCTGCTGTCTCTGTTGCACCCCCCGAGTCACTGTGCTCAAGCCTCTGGCCTCAGTGTGCCACGCACGACCCTCAGGGCCTTCAGGGCCTTCGCGCTTTGTCTGCGGCCTGGACACTCCCCCCGGTGGGACTCTCTCTCCCCCTCCCTTCTCTGGCCAGTCGGCCTGAACTTTACTTCTGCTAAGACCCCTGCCTCCCTGCAGCACCGCCCCCCCCCACCCCTTCCCGTCTCTTTTCCTTCGGGGGCCCTCACCACTTTCTAACATTTGGACCTTGGGCATTGAATGGCTCCCGCGCTAGAATGTGAGCTTGCTGAAGACACGGTGCTTCGTCTCCGGAGCGTGTTGCTGAGTCCCCAGGGCTGAGACCGGGCCCGGTCCGGGGATGTTTGTCGAGTGAGTGAACGTGGCCCGGTCCGGGGATGTTTGTCGAGTGAGTGAACGTGGCCTCCTGTAGCCCGCTCCTCCTCAGCTCGTCCTTGTTCTAGTCCCGCTGCGGCTGCCGCTCAGGTTCGTGGCTGACGTGGCTCCGTTCTCTGTTGTTGATGGGTGTTTTCCTGATGAATCTGAAGAACACATCTAGAGTAGCCGAGACCAGAAAGGAATGGCCCTCAGGGTGAAGGCCTTCTGGAGGTCCCAAGGGAGGATCCCTGCCTGATTCCAGCTGCTCCGCTGGCCTCCGCAGCTGCCACTGAACTTGGTCCCGTCTCAGGGAGGGCCTGGCCGGGTTTGGCCATGGAGCTGGATCCAGGGCACGTGGGCCGGAGGTCAGCCGAGCTGCCCTTTGAACAGACATGGCCCGAGCCCAGGCCAGGAGGAGTCTGGCCTTGCAGCCCTAGCCGGAGGAGGAAGACTCATCTCAGATAAGAGAAGGGAAGAAAGTCAGGGGGTGCAAACGGGCCACGGCAAGGGGCTCTGCTGCACGCTTCCTGCTGCTGTGGGGGTTGGGGCTTCCCTTCCCCCTTCCCGGAAAGTCACTGGCTGCTCCAGGCCCCGGCCACCCCGCACAGAGCTGTGGGCCCATCGGTCCTCTTCCCCTTCCTTCCCCTTAACTCCTAGGTAGGCAGGTCAGCTCGAGGAGCGGCCACCTTTGGAGAGGGGCTTTCCAGTGGAGGCACAGCGTGGACAGGTGGGACGCCACGAGCAGGGCTGCAGCCAGTGTCTCGGGAGGGGAAGTGTGATCTGCAGCACTTGCAGACGTGCTGCCACACACCCCGCCCCCACCCCAGGACCTCCCGCCACCCTGCTGAGGGGCAGGGTGCCTCCGTCCTGCTCTGTCGTACAGACAGGAAACTGCAGCTCTGAGAGCCCAGGGCACAGGGTCCAGGCCACACAGCTGATGAGCAGGGTGCCAGGGTGCAGCCTTCAGGTCCAGGCCCTTGTCTCCTGCACCCCAACCTTCACGCACACCCCAGCTTGGCTTCTGAGGCTGTGGTCTCTCAGGACTCCGCGAGGCCTTGGGGAGAGGCATGGGCTAAACAACCGAAGAAAGACCCCAAATAATCTCAGTCTAGTGGTGACATCCATGAGATGGAACGTAAGATAAACCGATGTCAGAATCTGCTCTGAGCAGCCAGCAAGTTTGAGAGGAAGTTAGGGGGGGTTTTGCTTCAGCTTCCGAAGTTGGTAACATCATCCTCATATAAATACCATCAAGATAATAACAGGAAAGATGGAAAAGCATTTCTCTTTTGTTTCTAATCAGACTAAGAAGATAACAGAAGTGGGGGGTTAAGGTTACAAAACAAAATGGGACGCACCGCAGGTCACTTTGGAATTATGGGAGCAGGTCTCAGAGGCACAGCAGTGAGGAGAGAAAGTCTAAACCTGCAGGCGAAAGTCACCGGGGGCCCCCTGGGGGGCCTCGTAAACACGGAGGGGAGAGGCTGCAGACGCTCCCCTGGGGCCTGGCCAGCCCCCTCCCTGCCCTCTTGGGAGCCGGTTCGCGGTGCTTGTTCTCCTTTTTCTACAAGCTAAATGCTGCTGACGTGACGGCCCCTACTCCCGAGGGAGATGAAGGAAAACAGAAGGGCTGGTGAGCGCGCGGCCTTTTGCCTGTCTTCGGGGAGACTTGGCCGAGGGCCTTGCGGTGACCCCAGCCTGGCTCAGCTTGCAGTATGGTCACTGTGCTCGGTCCCCTTTCCCCCACTCCGCTGCCGGCCGCTGTCCTCTGCCGAGCGGGCGCTTCCTTCTCATGTTCTAACATTAGCCGCTGCTGCTGGCAGGCGGCCCGGACATCTGACCCCCAGAGCAGCATTTCCCCTGGCTGCTTCCCGCACGCTCATGCTCAGGCCGAGGGCGCGTCCCCTCACCAGAGTGACCGTGCTCCCTGGCCAGGCCCGGCCTCCTGTCCTCGGCAGCTCTCCCAGGCCCCTCTCGAGTCTGGGGACCAGGGCAGAGGGCAGAGCGTGGCTCTGGAGTGTGGTTCCCCACGGCAGCCGACACTGGATTGCGGAGCTGGCCCTCCCTCCCTCCCTCCAGTGCTTGTTGGATCAGGATGCCCAGGCTGAGCAGCTTGCTCAGTCCGCGGAGCCAGCGGCCAGGTCAGGCCTTACACCCAGCTGCCTGGGCCCAGGAGTCTTTATCTTCTGGGTCCCCCGGCATTGGCCTTGGACTCAGCCAGCCCCAGCCAGGCTCCCTAGCAGGCCACAGGCTGGCCTGAAGTTCGAATTCAGAGTCCAGGGCAGCCCGATGCCTTTCCCCAGGGCAAGCAGAGGCGCCCAGGAAGCCATCCACGCCTGGGCGACCCCGAAGCCCCGGTGGGCAGCGAGCGATGCCGCTTTGTCTCCGGCCCAGCCTCAGCTTCCCGTCTTCGTGAGCCTGGCTCTCCCTCCTGTTTGCCACGGCCACGGTCTCACCACGTCCCACCTGGGAGGCTGGGCTGCTCCACTTGTTACTCAGGTGCGTGAGCGTGGGCTTGTCCGTGTGGCCTTGGGGTTCCCTGCAACACTGCATCAGGAGAAGGAAAAGCAATGTGATTATGGGCAGAGATGGGCTTTGTCATTTTCTGTGTGAGTTAGTTCCTCATTTAAAAAAAGACGTAGATTGTGTATTTAAGTCAGGGTTTCTTTCCTTAGTCTGAGACATGGCCTCTGAAGCTTCACTTTGATTTGTAGCTTTCGCCTTTCTCGTGGAAGACCCGATTCTAGAACCTTCTCTCCTGATCTAAGGAATCTCACAGCGACCAGGCCCTGCCCTGGGGGAGGCTCGGGAACAGAGGCTTCACTGTGGGAGAAATACCAAGGGGGGCTGTGCTCACTGTCCTGTGTCACTGCAGAGCCAGCCAGGGCCTGGGCACACATGTCTGTACGTGCGCCTCCATGCGCACACGGCGCGTCTTGTGAAACCTCAGAGGGTGCGTCCCCCCCCAGGGCCTTCCAGGCCTTCTCACATCGTGATCAGCTCACCCTTCCTGCGGTGGGTACGGGGTGCGAAAGGTTAGAGAGGCCGACTGCAGAATGGCTCAGACCAGTGCGAGTTTTATCATGCGCTGGGTAAACTGGAAATAAAACAACTCTGGACAACCTGGACCCCCCAGTGGGAACCTCAGTGTCAGGGCGCACCTGGGGCCTGACGCTCTGGGAAGCTATTGGGTACGGGATGTCTAGGCCTGCCCACTGCCGGCCCAGCCTCGGACAGGGCTCAGCAAGATGGGGGCCCCGATCCCATCATTCTTTTTTCTTTACCCCAATGGGAGGCAGAAAGCCCATGGGGGAGTAATTAGCCCACAACTATTTCAGGCCTTATGGTTGGCCTTAAAATTGCCACTGTCCTACCAGCATTTCTCCATAATGACTTTGATGGACATTGTCTGCACACACAAACCAGTTTGACTGAATCGACCATTTTGGAGAGGGAGACAAAAAAGAAAGAAGAGAAACCTGCATTTTGTAAAAAGCACAAAGCTAGAAACAAAAAAAACCCCCAAAACAAAATACTGCACTGTGCTGTAAATATCTTTTTGGTTAAGCAGGTTCAACTTATAAATATTTCCTTGTGGTTCTGAAAACCTGCCCAGACATCACATTTAGCAGTTGCATGATATCTCTGAGCCGTGACTGACTTAGCCGTCAGCTTCTTGAAGTCCGGCATGAAATCAGCCATCTCCAGCTAACTTACCTGGAAGGAGAAGTCACCTGAGCAGGGGAGAGAAACACGTGACTGGAGGAGAGCTGGTGACTGAAGTCTCCGAAGGGACAGGGGTGGGGCAGCTTTTTTAGAAGCAGGTGCTCTCGTGGGGCTCAGGGCATTCCTCCCGGGTGAACTGGCTCCGGCACCCCCTTGGTCCAAGAGTCAGAGCCCCAGAGTGAGGAGTGTCTGGTCAGCCACATCCAGTCCTGTGCCCACCCTGTGCCAGGGGAAATCGAGGCACAGCCCCACCATGACACTATCCAGGGAGGGAGGGTTGGAGCCCAATGCAGAATTGGGGTGCTGTTAGTAGAAGGGGGGGCTGTACCACCAGTCCATGCAGTTCATATGCTCCCTGAGGGGACCTGGAGTGAGGCTTCTCTAGAATAGGGGACCTGGGGATGGGGTTCCTTCATGTCATAAATCTCAACGTGAGCGACCACTGGCCCACCCGTGTCCCTGGCGCAGAGTCAGAGGCCGCGTGAGGAGCCCGGGCTGGCCTGGTGTCGCCACCCTGACCCCCAGCTCTGTCTGCGTGCTGCTCTCTCCCCTTGCCCACTGAGTTTTGATTTGGCGTGAGCCCTGCGATTTGGGGGGGCGGGGGGGGGCAGCAGTTTCGCCCAGTGGAAATCAGTTTCCATTGTCCCTGCGTCCGTTGGGCATATGGCAGCAGGAGCAAGAGGCTGGGCCAACAGGGCCACAGCAGTCGGTCCCCAGGTCGTCCCGTGTCACCTGCTTTGTGCTGGGACTGTTGTGGACAAGACAGCGGCCCCAAACCTTTGGTCTCAGGAGGGGCAGGAAATGAGGTGATGCAGACAAGGCCTTGTGGACAGAAGCACGGTGGGGAGGCACCCTTTAGCTGGGTGGTCAGGGAAGGCCGCCAAGGAGGCCACATGATCGGAGTGAGACCCAGAGTCCATCATGTAAAGACCCCACCACAAAGGGCCTGGGGTGGCGGTGAGCTGGCGGGCCCCGCCGAGCTGTGTGAGGGAGGTCGCGGGCTCCAGGCTTGGCTCACGTGGGCCTGGTGGCCCGTGGGGAGAGGGGCCGGCCTGGATTTTATTCTGGTCGCCGTGGGAAGCCGTTGGAAGCAGGCAAACAGGAACAACATGGGCTGGCCTCTGCCGGGTCTGGGTGGAGCGTGGAGGATGATTGCGGGCACAGGTCGGGGGCCAGTGTGGAGGCCGGCGGTGGCTCGGAGCAGGGTGGCAGGGAGCGAGACGTGCTGACATCCGCGTGTGTGTTCTCCAGCGCGGGAAATGGGTTCGCAGCAGACACGCAGCCAGCGGGCGGGAGAGCGAGTGAATGAGGGCCTGGGGCGCCCAGGGCTCCCCTCTATAGGTGGACCCCAGCAGTGCTGGTGCCCACGCATGTGTCCACATTTCCTGGGAGGTGCCCCTCAGTCTGAACATGCAGCTTTGTGGAAGAATAAGGCCAGTGAGCAGTGACACGCCAGCGGGTCAGTTTACGGTTTGCTTCGTGCTGTCCGTGGACCCCGAGCCGCCCTCAGTGGGCCCTGCACCTCAGCGCAGCCAGCGGGCCACCGTCTTCCGCTTTCCCTGGCCTGATCCCCGTTTGGTTTCTGTGGGCTCCCAGCCTGCGTAACTTTGCCCACCCCCAGCACGGGGCTGGGGTGGCTGCTGTGGTTTCCCAGAGGGTGTCTGCCTTGTGCCGGGTGCTCCTGTAGCACTGGCTCTGTCCCCTGCAGCAGGCAAGGCCGTGGTATTGGCCAAGCCCAGTTTCTCTCCCTGAGAACCCAGCGGGGCTCTTGAGTTTGTCAGCTGCTTGCCATTTGGTGACTTCGGTGTGAGCTTTCGATGAGCATCCTGCTGCATTAACCGAGCCAACTGGGAGGGAGACAGGCACAGCCAGCTCTTTGCTCAGATGGCTGTAGATTGGCTGGCTAAGTCACTGGAATCCAGGAGGGCCACCTGTCCTGACAGGTAAGGGTTTGCATGGAGGAGGAGTCTGGGAAAGGCCTGCCCACCCCCACTTCACCCCTTGCAAGCACCTTCTCATCTAACACCAGCTCCAGCACCTCCCCCAGGAAGCCAGCCCTGACCGCCGGCACCCAGTCCGGGCCCTCTCCCCGCCAGTCCCTCTTTCTCTGTACCGTAATGGTTTGTTTGTGTGACTGTGTCCTCCTGAGGCCCGAGGCTGGTCAGGATGGACCCTTGAAAACCTGAATCACATGACCACGTATCTTGAGGGCAGAGGTCCCTGAATCGGGCAGCTGGGGACAGGGGCGGGAGCTGGTGCCAGCACTTGCCACCCTCTTATCCACATGGGCCAGGTGTTCCTACTCAGCCCCACCCTCGTCCCTCTCGAGCTCTAGGAGCCAGGGCCTGGGTTCCCGCCCACCTCTCGGAAGGGAAGCGTGAGGGAAGCCATGCCCCGTCCTTGTGTCCCTGGGGCTCCTCAGAAGTTAGAGCCCTCGGTGACCGCTCCCCTGGGACTGAGAACGGCTTTCACTGTCACGTGACCAACCCGTAGCACAGCTCGCACGTAAATAATTACCAGGACAGATTTGTTGAATGAGTGAACGAATGAACGAGTGAGCGAGTCTTCGGGATGCTTGAGGCAGACCCTTTTTCCTGAGACCTGTGGGCAGCCTCCTCCTCAGCAGGAGTCAGGCCAGGTCTCTTGACCTGGGCCCCAACTAGTACAAGGGACCCCAGAATGTCCCGTGCTCAGGCTCCACGTAGCTGCAGAGCAAGCGCCTGGACTTGGGGCTCCTCTGGGCCCCTTGGCCTGTGTTCCACCAGTGGCCACAGCATTCTTCCGAGGTTGGGTGTGGTCGGGTTGAGTGGAGACGTGCGATGTTCACAGTGGAAGGGAAACTGTTGTGGAGACGTGGTGCCAGGGGCTCGGAAGCCACAGCTGTAGGTTGAGAGCGACTAGAACCTTGGGTTTCTGTTTCAGTTCAGAGAGGATGCCCAGGGGCCTCGTGGCCCGCTGCAGACAGCCTACAGAGGGAGGGAGGGCCACCTTCTTGTGCTTACCCAGTGCCTTTGCGTAGAGAAGAGCTGACCTTACAGCTTGGAGGGAGGGGCCTGGAGGTGGAGGGGCTCTTTACTCGAGGCTCTTCCTGCCACTGTGAGGTCCCGTTCTCTCCCAGCCTGGGCTCTGGGGAGGCCTCTTTTCAGCCCAGCTCGGTGACCCGGGCACAACACCCCCCACGCCCTCCTCCCCATCACTCACATGGAAAAGCCCCCGGTGTCAGAAGTCATGGGTTTTTGAAACCCATTAACTTGATGGACACCATAACTCACCGGCGACTTCGGACAGAATCCAGACCTAATTATGGGCAGATGTTGTCTCTTTTAATACTTTTCTCTCCTTTCCCTAATCCTATGTCGGCAAAAGGCAGTCACCCCTCCGATTGTGACTTTAGCGAGGGATCAGCGCAGGGTCATGTGCAGACGTGCTTCTTATGACTTGGAGAGTGAATAGCTTTTCTGGTTGTTTTCAGCACACGCCAAAGAAGATGAGTCACGGACCGACACTTTTCTCTTGTGGAATTATGGGTGAGTAACCAAGGTGGCCGTGAGCGGTCCTCCCCTAGTCCTCCACCAGGGCCCGAGTCCTCCAGGTGAGACGCCGAAAGCACTTTCTGGACACAGGCACAAAAGCTGCAGCCGTGGGGACTCTCTTCTGTGTGTGGTCCCAGCCGCGCCGGACTGGCGCAGAGGGCTCCTGGGCTAGGCACTGGTGTGTGGTTCACAAGTATAATTCCAACTGCAACACCGAAGGTTACTGTCCAATTTTTAAAGTCACCATGTTGATTTTTTCCTAATTCAGAAAATGCACCATAGTGTAAAGTATAACGTGAAAATCTCTCATAGCTCCATACCTAGTTGGTGTATTTTTTCTGTTCTTCGGGTTTTTTGCATAGCCAATCCAGGATGAATGTATGATTACATGAAATTACACACAAAAGGTATTTCTCTTGCTCTTTTCACGTTGTAGTAGTGGTCACCATTGTTTCCCCACAGCGTTAACGCTGTCCACTCCGTGCGTTTTAATGAGTGTGGGGGATCGTGTTGTACGGATGAGTGAAAAAGTGTTTGAGGATTTAACCGTTTTCTTGGTTGTTGGGGTGAAGGGTGTTTTGTTTGCCGTGGTGACGAGCAGTGACTAAGTGTCTAAGCCGCGTCCTTTTCCGGGCTGTGCCTCAGGATAGTCCCCGGCGGGCAGGAGCGTTTCTAAGGCTCTTGCTTCCCTTGCCAACCTGTGCCCCAGACTCCTGTTCTCACGCACGTGTGAATTACCATTTTGTATAAGGGGCTGAAACTGACTGGGTCGATTTCTCATGCTCCAGCCGATCAGGCACTGTTTCTCCTCTGTGTGTCTCTCCGTGACCACTGCCCCTTTGGGGGACATCGTGACAGTGAGTTTCCGTGATGTCTGTGTTGGGGCAGCAGCCAGGCTTCCACGATGCGTAACCGCTGCGGGCTTTCCTGTTCCGGTTTCCTTCGCAGGGCGGCGTACGGTGCGCCCGGCCCCTCCCTCTGTGCACAGGGCTTTCTTTCTCTTCTTTAGACCCCGTCCCCAGAGGTGGGGTGACGAGGGTGGCGGAGGGCTGGGCGTGTCACAGTGAGCACGGTGCTGGGGCACACTCGTGACACGCAGGGTCTCCTCGACTCTGCAGCAGCTTTGGGGGTGGGCGCAGGCACTCCGTTCACAGATGGGGAACCAAGGCCTAGCGAGGCGCCTGCCCAGGTCCTTGGTGGGCAGAGCTGGACCCAGATCAGGGGAGAAGGAAGACTGTTTTCGTGTTACTCACAAGCCACAGCTCTCATGGGGAGCCCGGGAGGTCCTCCTGATGCTGCCGCCAGCGGAAATGGAAACAGAGAGATCACCTGGCCTTGGTTTACCCACGTGACACACTTCGGAGGCCTGTCCCCACATGGGGCTCAATTGAACACCTCGTTGGTGGTTAACAGCTTTCAGCAAACCCCTCAGTGACCCAGGCACGTGGCCCAGAAGCCTGCCTCACCTGGGCCAGACCCACAGTGGAGAGCTATAGTCGAGCTGCCTGTCTTGGTCATGGCCAGGGAGGAGAGGGACACCTGGGCACATCCTGCTCCTCAGCCCTGTCTGGACTTTCGCTGTAAACCAGGCCACACTGGTAAACCGGGTGGTGGAGATGCCGGTCTTTATTTCTGGACCGTCCTGCTTCAGGCTTCCACGCCTTTGCACTGAGTGGGTCACGATGAGGTGGACCTCTTGTGGGTTTGTACCGGGCAGCGCTGGGTTTCGACCAGTCCCTCTGGGCTACTTAACTTTCTCAGCCTCAGTGTCCTCATTGTAAAGCGGCTGTGATGATGGCACCTGCCTTGTGGGTTTGCTGGGAGGACCACGTAAGGAGATTGGCACAGCATACACACTCCGTAAGTGGTATCTGAGAAAGAGGGCTGTGACCCAAAGTGAACGTCCTGCTCCCTGCAAGAGGCCTCCAGGCCCCAAGGGACCAGCTTGGTTTCCTGTGGTGGGGGGTGTGTAGGTGAGGGAGTCACCCTCGTGGGGAAAGACCCTCAGGCTCGGGGACCAGGGCAAAGACCCAGCAGTCTGATCCTGTGGAGCTCTGCGGCCGGCTCTCTGCGGGGCGAGGCCTGCTCTGTGGCCCAGGGTTTCCAGGAAGGCCTGCGCTGCTGCTGCTGCTGCTGCTGCGGGCTCTCGTCTGCAGACTGGCTCTTCAGGGTCTGTCGTTCGTGGGCCCTGTGTCCCTCTTGCCGTGCAGGCCAGCACCAGGACAGTGCGGGGCTGGGCTCTGGAGTCCCCTCGCCTGCTCCTCGGTGTCTCTCTCCTTCTCATCCTTTTGTTGCTCAGCCCCTCCTGGATTTGGGAAGCCCCTGACTCATCTGACAGCACAACTTACCAAGGCTTTTTGTTCATTTCAGTGGCTTGCTCTAGTGGTGTTTATTGAGTACCGACTGTGTGTCCGGTGGAGTGACTCGGGGGTGGAGTGACGCAGCCTTGTGCTTATGTCTGGCCCTCGGAGCTGTGGGCTCATCAGCCCGTCTTTCCTCATCTCGCAGCGTGCAGGTGTTTGTGGGATTTAAAGAGACAGCAGCGCACAGGAGCTGCCGGCTCAGTCCCTGCTGCCTCCATCCCTTTCCTGCACTTGCCAGGGCGGGAATGTCAGCCGCCCCAGGCCTTCTCAAGCACGTGCGCTGGTGGAAGCTCAGGTGACCGCTCTGCCCACTTTCCCTGTGATCTAAGTGTGGCCTTGCCCTGGGTCACAAACTGGGAGGGCATCCCAGGCAGTGAGATTTCACCTTAGGCGTGCCTGCTTTTCAGCAGAGAGGAGAGAACACCCTGTGGGCCCGGCCAGACTTTTTACGAGGGTTTTGGGCCCTGCCAGGGCCGGACCATGCTCGGCAAAGATAAAATATATTACTTTAATCACCAAACCTCCTGCCTGTCTCATGTTCAGGCCCTGATCAGTGGCATTCGCCTGTGAGAGCTGGGGACAGCTTGGTCCTGTGACTCGGTCACTTCCCTCTTGAGCCACCATGTAAGGTCCTAACTGGAAGCCAATATGAGTTCGAATGTCATAAATGTTCTTAAGAAAATCCAGGCAAGTGCACTAGGGTGGGAGGGGCAGTGGCCCCTTTGCTTCCTCTTAAAAAGCCACCCTCTCAAGTCGCTCGCTGCCCTCTGCACCTGATAGAGACACCTTACTAGCATAATCGAGTGCTTCACACTCCATTATTGTGAGCTGGCGTGCAGCCCCTCCCCACCTCCGTGTCCCCTCCCTCCGAGTTTGGAACCTTGATACAAAGAAGTAGTTTTGTGCTTGTCCAAAGTGGGGAAGAACCGGGATTGCAGAACCGGGCCAGGTGCGGACGGGAGAGGCGGGGCAGAGCGGAGCCCAGCGACTGCCCGGCCTGCTCCGTGCGGGGACCCAGGGTGCAGCCCAGCCCCAGCAGCACGGGGCTCCTTCCAGCAGAGACGCGGTTTGGCCTCTCGGTTTCCCGTCTCACCTCCCAGACGGTCCCGGGCACGCCTTCCGTGCTCAGCCGGAGGTTCCTCTGCAGACGGCTTCTCGGGGGGAGAGTCCTGTGCAGCGCCGGTCGCTGTGTTCTGAGGAAGCCTTGCTCGGGCGGCAGCCTCGTGCGTGGGGCCCGCCCACTGGTCAGCAGGTCTGAAGGGGGTGAGCCAGCCCCCAGTTGCTGGCCGTGATTCCTGGTGGGTACGGAGGGGGCTCGGCCACGCCCCGGAGAGTCATCCGGCGCTGGGCAAGGCAGGGGCTGCCTGTACATCAGGGGGTGGCTCCCTCCAGGCCTCCGTCATTTGCCATGGGAGGTGCTGCTTCGTGCCGACCCTCGTCCCACGTGTCCGGGGCACGTGGGGTGAGAATGGGCTCCGTTGCCCACCTCTGGCTAATGGCACCCAGTACAAGAGTTCTGCGTTGCGGGCACAGCGGGCACAGCACGTTCCATTTTCCTCACCTCTCGGGCGAGAAGACCTAGGGACAAATAAGTGAGACAGCAAATGCAGTTCCAGTTATTGCAAGAAGGCCACTAGGAAAAGGCGCGCAAATGCCAGTCAGTGGACGGGGAATAAAACAATTCACATGCAGAAAAAAATTGGAAGGAAACCCATAATTACTTTAGGAGTTATGGTAATAAATTATTTATTGATGTAAATTATTTCGCAGGCAAAGGACATAGAGGAAACTTGAGCAGAAGGATCATGCATTATGTATAAAAAGAACTGTCAAAATGTTATAGCAGCTTTGCTTGTGTCACTCGGTCCAGGTTTGTGTGTCACTCGGCTCAGGTTTGTCAGCATTTTAATTATAAGCCCTTACTTCCCGTGTTTAATCACTTGGCTGTTAAGGTCTACTCTGCACACAAAAGGGTTGTTCCCAGGGGCACGGGCCACATTAATTTCTGCAGGGAAACCAGCTGGCTGTGTGGCGTGGGGCAGGAGGAAAGACTCCACTTACGGATCTGGTGGACTTCGGTCCTTGAACTCCACCGCTATTTGTCGTTGCAAGTGGACTGTGACTGCACCTCGTGTAGAAAGCTGGCATTTAGGGGTTGAGCATTTGAGACTTTTTAGCACAAGCACGTGTCTGAAACACAGTGAGCAACAACAGTAACAAAACTAGAGCCATCAGGCCCGATTGCTGGTCCTTGCCACTTTGTCCCTTTCTCAGAGACGGTCATTTCGAATATGATCCTGGGACCAGCGCCTCCTCTAAGAAGCTGTTGAATGACCAAAATAAGCTAGAGTGAGCCTTGTTTTCATTTTGAAAAGTACACGCATGTGCAAGTGTGCATTTTGTGATCGTGTGTGTGAGTCTTCAGTCTCTAAAATAGTTTGAGGTTTGTCGGTGCGGCATGCTTGAAGTTTTTTCAGAGGTATAAAGTACAGAATGTAGGTAGCCGCTGAGCTTAGTTGGCTCCCGGTAGCTGTTTATGGTGTGGTGCGGCATGCTTGAAGTTTTTTCAGACAGTGTTTCTGGTATAAAGTACAGAATGTAGGTAGCCACTGAGCTTAGTTGGCTCCCGGT